TCCCCCCCCTATTATCTTGGTTTAAAAACTTTTCAAATATCTCGGCAACCGCTAGTGTCTTTGGTTTTTGAAAGAATTTTAAAGATTCTCGAGGACCCCTTGAGTCTGGTTTTTAAAGCAATTATAAAGAATTTCGGAGACACATTGTGTCTTGTTTTTGAAGTAATTCGAAAGAATCTCGGGAACATATTGTGGCTTGTTTTTGAAGTAGTTTGAAAAAATCCCGGAAGCTCCTGATGTCTGGTTTTTGAAGTAATTTTAAAGATCCTCGGCAACACCTTTCTAAAAATCTCGGGAACATATTGTGCCTGGTTTTTGAAGTAATTTGAAATAACCTTGGAGACCCTGGGTCTTATTTTTGAAGTAATTTTAAAGATTCTCGGGGAGCCCTTGTATCTTGTTTTTGAAGTAAGTATAAAGACTCGGAAACAACTTATACTTTGTGTTTGAAGTAATTTCAAAAAATATCGCCCCCCTCCCCTATTATTTTGGTTTAAAAACTTTTCAAGTATCTCGGCAACCACTAGTGTCTTTGGTTTTTGAAAGAATTTTAAAGATTCTCGAGGACCCCTTGTGTCTGGTTTTTAAAGAAATTATAAAGAATCTCGGGGACACTTTGTGTCTTGTTTTGAAGTAATTCGAAAGAATCTCGGGAACATATTGTGGCTTGTTTTTGAAGTAGTTTGAAAAAATCCCGGAAGCTCCTGATGTCTGGTTTTTGAAGTAATTTTAAAGATCCTCGGCAACACCTTTCTAAAAATCTCGGGAACATATTGTGCCTGGTTTTTGAAGTAATCTGAAATAACCTTGGGAGACCCTGGGTCTTATTTTTGAAGTAATTTTAAAGATTCTCGAGGAGCCCTTGTGTCTTGTTTTTGAAGTAAGTATAAAGCCTCGGAAACAACTTATACCTTGTGATGAAGTAATTTGAAAAAATATCCCCCCCCCCTTATTATCTTGGTTTAAAAACTTTTCAAGTATCTCGGCAACCACTAGTGTCTTTGGTTTTTTAAAGAATTTTAAAGATTCTCGAGGACCCCTTGTGTCTGGTTTTTAAAGCAAATATAAAGAATCTCGGGGACACTTTATGTCTTATTTTTGAAGTAATTTGAAAAAATCCCGGAAGCTCCTGATGTCTGGTTTTTGAAGTAATTTTAAAGATCCTCGGCAACACCTTTCTAAAAATCTCGGGAACATATTGTGCCTGGTTTTTGAAGTAATCTGAAATAACCTTGGTAGACCCTGGGTCTTATTTTTGAAGTAATTTTAAAGATTCTCGGGGAGCCCTTGTATCTTGTTTTTGAAGTAAGTATAAAGCCTCGGAAACAATTTATACCTTGTGTTTGAAGTAATTTGAAAAAATATCGCCCCTCCACCCTATTATCTTGGTTTAAAAAACTTTTCAAGTATCTCGGCAACCACTAGTGTCTGTGGTTTTTGAAAGAATTTTAAAGATTATCGAGGACCCCTTGTGTCTGGTTTCTAAAGCAATTATAACGAATCTCGCGGACACCTTGTGTCTTGTTTTTGAAGTAATGCGAAAGAATCTCGAGAACATATTGTGTCTTGTTTTTAAAGTAATTTGTAATAATCTTGGAAGACCCTGGTATCTTGTTTTTGAAGTAATTTTGAAGATTCTCAGGGACCACTTGTATCTCATTGTTGAAGTAAAATACGCCGTCTAGTAGTTACGAAATACAACGTCCACTGTTTATAATGTACGGCGTTCAGAATTTACAAAGTACAGCATCTATTGTTTACAAATTACGTCCTTTGTTGTCTGTGGAGTACAGGTTTCAACATTTACAAACACCGGCGTTCGTACACAGTGCTAATAAGAAATTAAAAAAAATATGGTTGTACAGGGTCAAAAATAAAGGATGTTATTTTATGAAATTAAATAACGTTTTCATGCAAAATTTGGAGATGACGTCATCACAATATTGGTGAGAGAAATTTTAGCTAGAGTCTTATCATTTACACGATATTCCTAAGATACATACATATAAAATCCGACAACAATTCGCCCTGTAGTTTGTGTCATCAACATTTTAGCAAGGTAAATACGTCAGTTTGCGTAGATACAGTAAAATAAGATGATTAAAAAGGCTGCGGCCCGGCATTGATCCCCAGACCTCTCATCTGCGAAGCAGACGTGCTGTTGCCGGACCACCGCTGGAGATTTGTATTACGTATCCAAAGAACAAGACGGCTTGAACAAAAAAATAATTTAATAATAATGGACAAAATCAAGGTAGATTCATGACCCATCATAAAATTTTAATGACCATTAGTAAAAAACATTTTGCGTGAACGTCATCCCATTGTTTAGGTAGTGTAAAGCCATGAGTAAATCAAAAAGAATACTGTAATTCGCCAAATTGAAAGAAGTCTGGGTACATAAATGTTTCGATATTTCAAATATGTTCTAGTGAACTAGGCACTTTATAATCATAATTAATCCGAATGAAATAAGGCTAAACGTAAGCAACGCTATTGATTACACACTATATTGACGTTCTCTCCACATTACAATACACGTGCGTCAATTAGAACCAAATTAGACGGTCTCTCCCTCACGTGTAATTTCCTATCTAACCCCGAAGTTGCCCTTTTTTTTTAAATACTAATTTTGAGCATGGGAACTAATTTCGGCAAATCGCATCCATAATCCTTTTTTATAGGGGCGATAAAACTGCTTAAAATCCTCTTCGTCGTGTAAAATTTCCCAATAGGTCGGATTACACGTATGGCAACATAAAGCAGGTTATTTTCTTTCCGGCGCTGTAAAGGCCACTTGGAGGTCGTGTTACATCTCTATAACGATCCGTCGAAGATTAGAAACGAATCGCGCAACACATCTACATAAAAAGCAGGGACATAAAGACTTCCCTAAAATAGCGAAGAGAAAAGAAAGTAAGACAATTTCTATCTGATAGTGTCGGTCCCTCGGAGTCTCCCAGGCCTGCTGTTCTAGAATCCCATCATCTGAAACGCATTAAGGAGGCGCAGGGTTGCAATTTCAACGCCGGCCTCAGAAATGCGCCTCTAATACACAAATCCTGCCGTTTTATACCGGGAATGGTACAGATCTGATGATATTGAACGTGTGCGGCTGTTATTTTTCATAAAGACCGAGTCACACTGGTGACAACAAAGTCGATCGGATTGACGGGTTTATTATAGTGCGGCGCTCAGTTAAGGCTGATAACTAATGATCAACTGTCACGGAATTGACCAGATTGCTGCTTGCACAAGCGATTGTGCCAATGATGAAAAAATTAATTCCAAGCGATGACACCGTTTATCTTCTTTTATCTTGTTTGCGTTATTGATGGCGGAGTACACGGTGTATGTTTACAAGCTTGTACCGGATTAATAATGGTCTAGGTACGAGCCGGTGGAGAAGATATCATCACGTTACGCCGCACATTTAACACCCTTAAGTAAACAGAATGCACTTCGGCGAGCGCAGCGAGCTGCGTTTATCTCCCGGTTAATTAATCCCATAACTTTGACTCCGTTTTATTCAATTTCTCGTACGGGATCTTTATGGCCGCTTGTAACGAGAATTGTATTGTTTTACAGGCCTTGAACTTCTCTATAAACGACGTTATAATCATGACAAATGTAACCCTTTATAATATAAACCGGCACGCCATGAGAGGTGCTACAAATACGAGCATAATTACCGTCAAAAGCGTGAACGGTTCATTGCCAAGTGGAACGAAACTCTCCTTAACCCAAAACCGAAATACGACCACAACCGGAATTCAATTTCGCAAATAAACTTTTTTCCGCGAATTATACATTGCATGAACGCAAATAAATAAATCCGACGTAAAATATTGCAGCCATAAATCATTAAAAAATATTCCACTGTAAATATTTTCGATGCGCGCGATGGATCCGACATATTATTTTTTATAATCTAAAGCCCCATTGTTACGGCCGTTTTTTAAATAAAATTTTGAGTTGGCGTCGCCGCGAAATTTATAAATCGAATCAATTTGTAAACTTCTCCAAATCAATATTTTCTTTGTTTCTAAAACAAACTTAATTTCCACCAAGTACACTTCCGATCAATTGTAACAAGCCATCAGAACCCCCAAGTCCCAAACACAAACATCATTCTCGAAATCAAGTCAATTTCTCGCAAAAGCAAACATTTTTCGGGGCTGAAATTATCATGTCGTATCGATTATTTATTAACTGTAGCAGTTTACCGACTTTGACGAACAATGTGGACGTGAAAAAGTAAAGAGATCTCATGAATTGGTAATGGAAGTCGGACACTTACGTTCCCGACATCAAATTATAGGGCGCTAAAAAAAGCTTTTTAATAACAACGAAATCATAAGGCGAAGCAGGTGTGAAGACACTGACGCCATCTCTTCGGATGTAGTAAAAACAGCCGGGGACTCGCTAGAGAAGGTTTAACAATTTGTTCCCTTTTTAGAGTTGCCCTATTTAATAAAATTTGGTTTTTTTATTGAATACAGAAATTTGCTTCACTAACCTAAGTGTAATTCTAATATTTCCAAAGAATTCGGAAAATGATTATATTGTTGTCCGCAGCCTGTAATAAATTACCAATACTCTTCAATATCAACTTACGATGGTATTATGACTCATGTCCCATAATTCTCTGACGTTCCACCTTAATGTTAATACACCTCCGAATGTGGAAAAAAAAATTCCGTTGATTCAAGCTAATGGTAATCGCTTTAATGCACTGAAAAAAGTGAGTTGTGCGACAAATGGAATATATATTAATAAAAACAATAGTATTAAGAATGTCTTTATTTTCCAACGAGTGCCACACCTTGAAAATAATGCATGTATAGTTCGTTTACCGAACAGATGGAGCGATCACGTGAACGTCCAAGCTTAAGGATAGTCAACTCCACCTGTTCGGTAAACGGCGTGTAAAAATCTGTACCAACCCCTTTGTTACGCAAGAATCTGGAATAAGAATGTCGCAAATTTGGTTTGTTTAGGTCGTCCCAGCCCCACCGTGTCCTGGTTCGTGAACGACCGGCTCGTGGAGGGTCACGTCGAGGCTATCGGCGACACCCTCATGGTAAACCGTTTGTCGGTAAACGCAGTACGACGAGAGCACCTCAACTCGTCGTACAAGTGCCAGGCAAGCAACACAAAGCTGATGATGCCCGCAGAGAAGACCGTAAGACTGGAACTTCTACGTAAGTTTAAATAGAACGCCCTCCTCCGCCCGAACCAGGCCCCACAAGTAAACATTCAACCCTTTGCAGTGCGGCCGCTGAGCGTCATTATTCCGCACAAACCCCACCAAATGGTAGCCAACCAGGAATACACGATACAATGCCAAGTGACGGGGTCAAGGCCGAAAGCCGTTGTGTCCTGGACAAGGGATAACCGCGTCTTCAGAAGAGGAAAGGTGGGGAATTTCCGCAGTAAAACCGGCTAATTTGTTCTGATATTTGTTTTATTGTGCCGAGCTGGGCGGTTTTCGGCGAAAATTTGTAGGAAGCGCGATTTGTTGTCTTATCGTAAAAACGGAAACGGCTGCAGTAATGGGCTTATAAACAGATAATGGGGTTTGTTTTATTTTGTTCAATTGCGAGGAACATTAAGCGTGAGAAATTCGCCACAGTACCATCTCAGGAACGAGCGGGTAATCGACGCAGGAATATTGTTCAGGTTAAGAGAGTTATTCGCGGTTTACTTTCACTTTATGGCGAGGTTGCTGGCCAGGACGTAAAAGAAGCAGTCGTGTATATACAACCACGGAAAGGTCTTGATTGTCGATAAAACCGCTTAGCGCCACCTATTGTACATTTCTTACATTTTATGTTCGACGTTTCGTTAAGAGTGCTATAACTCCGGGACCTCGTAGTTGGGTCTTAAAACAACAAAATCGCAAATTTAGAACCCCCGCACGTATGCCTAACAATAATAATTCATTGCAAAAATACAACCCAATATCACAAGTTTCTATGTGTTCATGTACTCGATGGAGCAGTGATCTTCATTCTAAATCATTATCAGGTTCTGGAGGAGGGAAACGAGACCATGGTAATCAGTTCCGTTACGTTCGCCCCCGTGCCCGAGGACGACGGCACATTCCTCAAGTGTCTGGGTGACAACCCGAAGCTGCCCGGCTTCAGCCAAGAAGACTCGTTCAAGCTGAACGTCGTCTGTGAGTATCCCGCCCTAAAAATAATTAAGCCTCTCTTATTAATATCGAGTCGCATAATCAATTCCTGCGTCGGAATTCAGTTGGTCCCCCGTTTAAAATTCACATCGTAAGCGATGATATCGACCCGTACTTATACCACCTGCCTTTCGCCCTCACTCACCTTGCTGATGCAGCGCCAACAACAACGTGACGGCACGAAAATATGAAAGTGTGCCGCCGCCACCGTTCAGTATTTACGACGTCTAAATTTCAGGAGGCTTTCTCTCAACAAAGCGCACACATTTACATAAAGCGCGTATCGCGGTTTTTCATTACGACCGCCGCTACAACGATTTTCATCTTATTAAGAATGCGTGGAATTGTATTTTAGGTCTATAATAACTTGCCGCCCCTGACAGATATTTGTTCAAATCGTCTCGAGGTAAATTTCACCTGTGCCAGCAGGAATTCAAGCTGGCGACGTGGAGAGAATAGGCACTTACGACCCGCCGGAATTATGTAGAACGGTTTTTCTGCCGGCGGCGAGACGAAGAGCCAGTAAATGACATCAGCAGCAGGTTTTGATTGGAAGATCGATGCCGCCAACACAATGACCGGTGCACTCGGATGTTTCACACATCGACTCACTTTTAATACCTCGGTTTCGTGGCGAAAGCAATTTACGAAAGTCGCGAATATTGAAGTAGTCCATCTGTTCGGTAAACGACTTCAAGTTGGGTCTGGCTCTTTATCGGGCGTCAAGTTTCCAGGGTGGCGTTACCTGTGTCCGATTGCTAGTGTTTCAGTTTTTGTAAATAATCTTCCAGGCGGCGTTGGGGGCGCATTGCGCATGTTTACACCAATTTCGGTTCCTCATGTTTACCGAATCGGAAAAGATTAATCAATCCGGTGCCGAGGGCGGCGAAAGAGTTGGTAAAAAAGCTCCCTGTGCGCGAGTAACCGATCGCGCCCTTCATCAAATCGAAATTATTGCGAATTCCTTGACTTTGCGTCGAACCGGAAAAAGCTTTGACGCCTCAAGAGCGCGATCACAATGAGCGCTGTAATAAATCCGGAAACGCAATTCGGCTTCGTTTTGACGGCGCTCTTAATAATTACAACGTGTTAAATAAATTATAGAAAATTGCGTAACGAAATGAAGCGGAAATTTCCAATTACCGAGTCGTACGAAATTTGAAAGGCATACATTCGTAGGTACAAAATCGATACTAAAGTCTCGTTCCGGTTCTCCTCTCCCAATACACATCGGCAAATAAACGCTTCTTTTTCCAGCGGCTGGCGCTGCTTAGAGTGTTGCCTTACGTCGCGAGTACCTATTTGAAGTGAAGATTTCGCCACAGGCTTTGCACATATTGACAATTACTTACGTGAGGGTTTTCCTTCGAATCCGTCAACGGAAACTTGCGAATCTAACGGCTCTTTGTAGACGGGAACGAATGGGGCTTTGGAGCGTTTATCAGCAGCGCCAACTCGCCTGAGACATGATTGAACAAGGAAAACTTTGGAAAATTCGCATTACCAATCACAACGGAGAGTAGAGAAAAAGTTGGGCGGCTGATAGCGGCGACTCGGGCACAGGAAACGGAGGCGAATGCCAGACTTAACTTATCTAGGCCTTTAGATAGATATTCAATAAACAGACACAAGTCCGCCAGTGTTACGGGGCGTCGTTTTTGGCGCAGTCTCGTGTAAATTACTTTCCAATTTCTCGGCTGCACAAAGAAGCCACATTTTAAGCGCGCCCAGAAAGCAAAAACTCCTTGAAACGGCCGCCATCTTGCTAATTAGCGGCATCCTCCTCTGTGCCCATATTAAAGACGAAATAATATTTTAAGAGAGAGTGAGTGTCACTGCAGCGCTCCAGGAGACCGCAGATGTTATAAATATGAAATTATGAGCGGACTGACTTAATTTAATTTCCAAAGTTCCAGCTCGTTTTTCCTTTTAGTCAAATCTGATACATTTCCTTCACTGTGCGGTGTTATTTCTTCATTACACAATTCGTACGTCGCTGTTCCCTAGGCGCCCTCGCCGTGCCGAGCTTTATTTACTCTTTCTACGCCATTTTTAAAACTACCCACTTCAACTAATACCTAGAATAAACTGCACGAAAACTTGGAAACTTGAAAAGTTTTGACAAGAAAGAAAAAATATAAAACGAATTCAACTCGTTCGACGTATGCACAACACGTGATGCATACGGGATTTTGTTTTGTCGAGAAGATTGGCTCAGTCAAAACAATACGTGTGGTTTCGGAGTTGCTCGAGTATATTTTCAACACGTGCTTAAAGATATTTTGCCTATTTTGCTTTGTGCGGCGAACGGAGCCGAGAAGGTTTATATTCGCACTCTTCTCTCCACATTAAGCTCTGGATGTGGAAATGACCTCAACGGCTCCTGAGAACTTCATTTCAGTTGACTGTATGCTACTTAAGGCTTAGGCCTTTCCCTATCGCCGTTTACCAGAAATTTATTTCGTGTTTCTTTCAGATTTCTCTCCCCCGTTCATTCCGACTTAATACTCGTGCAAGCAAACAAAAAATAAAACGCAAGTTTTATTCAATTTAACAAACATATTCAACATATCAAATACAACAACATTCACCCCATTTTAATTCCTTATTACATCAATTCTTTCATTTCATCATAAAGCACCAGCACCAATGCCGCTCCAGTCCCTCTCAGAATATTCGAAAACGCCCCTTTGAAAAAAGCCAGCGGTCCCTCGTGCTGGGCTGTCTTCACCCAACAATCCAAGGTGTTCTTGTACATCCTCTGCTCTTTCGGTATTCCCGACTGCATCATCATGCGCCGTCTTACCGTATCGAACGGGTATGAAGTGATACCCGAAACCGTGGTCACGATTTGCGCTATAAGAAACGACAAAAGAAAGGGCGTATTCTTAGGATCCGGAAGCATCCCCTTCGCCGTATCAAACAGCCCAAAATACGAAGCTCTGTAGATAATTATACCTTGGACCGACACCACAAACCCTCGGTACAACCCCATCGGACCATCACTCTGAAAAGTTTTAGCTATACAATCGACCATGCCTTTGTAGACCCGCTCTTCCATGCTCTTTCCCACGTCGACAGCCAATCGTGTTCGAGCGTAATCGAGAGGGTAGACGAAAACCAACGAACTCGCACCCGCGGCTCCTCCCGACGCAAGATTTGCACCGAAATAGCGCCAAAACTGGGTGTTCTTGTCGATTCCTTCCATGAAGATTTTCTTGTAGACATCCTTGAAGGCGAAGTTGAGGGCTTGAGTGGGGAAGTAACGCAGCACATTCGCGAGATTGCCACGCCAGAAGCTTAAAAAACCTACACGAGGTAAACATATTTAAGTTGGTCACAGTGGAGTAAGTGTGGTGTCGCAGATCGAAATCTTAAGAATGTGAATTAAAATGCGATGCAAAAAAACCTAACCTCACTCCTACCCCGGATTGAAGTTGCTGATTTGGTGTGTGATTTGTGTCGTATCGAGTACTTTCGTCGTACCTTGCTCTTTGGGTATGCGCACAAAGCAGTCGACAATCCCCTTGTATCTCTTCTCCTCCGGGATCTGCTTGTTGGTCTCCTGCACTTGCAGGATGAGCTTGACCCTCTCGATGGGCGCCACGCTCGTCTTGGCGATGGCCGCAGAAATCCCGCCGGCCATAAAATCCTTGAAAAAGTCCTTCACCATGCTTCACTTCAATTTCAAACCGAATTTTCCGCACGAACTACAATTTGACAAGTATGACAGCGTGTGTTGAATAATGTGACTCGATCTTGAAATGTGTGGCAATTAGTAACTTTTATGAAATAGAAATATATCTGTGTCCTTGTTATGCTCCGTCTTTTCGACAGCAGGTATTTTTTGCTTCCAGTATGGCGATCCTGTTACTGTCATTTGGCCGTCAATTGCCTTGGTGGTAACACGTCTTCCACGACTGTTTGCTGGTTACCGGTGACACTTTCTCGTTGAATAGGGCTGGAGTTACTTTGAGACTGGAATAGTGTTCTTTCCGGTCCGTTAACTCAATAATTCTAGTACAGTCTGTCGTAACCTCAAATCGTAAACACATCAACCTTTCGTTGACAGATAGCGAAAATTACTAGCCTCGCGCTATCTTTGTTTAACACATAGGTTAGGTTCCTCTCTGTCGAATTCCGACCACAGGCAGTTTGCCGTACTTTCTAAAAGTAATAGTAGATCTAGTGACTTTAGTGTTGAAAACTGAAGTGCGGCATCTGGCGGTGATAAAATTTACTGCGCTTTTGGTCTCCCTCTGTCGGCGAGTTCGGAATTGGTTGAAATGACAACGCGCCAATTTCGGGAGAGTAATTTCGGTTTAGTAGCGATGGCAAGTGCAGATTTCCATTATAGGTATTAAAATATAATTAGAATTGCGTTATTGAAGAATTGAGGAACAGGTGAACGTAATCTGACGGGTGGAAGTTGACGACGGCGGCGGGGAACGGTTATAACCTCACTTTTGGGAGCGACTACCTGGAACGGAATTGTTACGAACACTTATTAAATTGAATTGAATGGGGAATAATAGCGAGGAGACAGGCATATGGTATTGATTAAATTTTTATTTTAATGGCGATGTGCAGGGGAGGACTAGGGGGAAAGACGACTTAGGTAGGGTTGCGCCTTTCATTACACTATTTTACCTAAAATTGAGAGTAATTAAGGCAATTACAACTTAGTACATTGTAAAGTCTTTCGCAACAGCTACCGTGTGACCAACAATTATTTATTGTGTTTCTGTTATCATAACCTCACTTTATTTGGCGCTTAAACTTAAAAGTGACATAACGCCAACTTAAGGGGGAACGCTAGACGAGAGACAAGTTTGAATTGGGCAATTCTTCTTTTAATCTACCTGACGCGCTGGGATAGACGACTACCGGACGTGAGTCATAAAAGCGTCGTAAGCCGATAATGCAGAATAATGATAATAATTTATGACAGGCGGCCCACAACATACCTTCAGCACAGAATAATCATATCTCGTATTCTTTTGACATCTTAATTTTAATATTCGAGATAATTATTATATTATTCAAACACAATTTAGACACTGTAGAGCAAACAAGGCTTACCAAGCCCGTCTATTAGTTTATTCGCCTAAATGTATTATTAATACCGTTTTCAAATTAGACCAAAATTGAAAAATCGAAAACTTAATAATTGAAAAATTGAAACATTTTAAATGAAAAAAATCGGTAAACCGAAAAATTGAAAAATCTATAAATCGGGAAATTGAACTATCTAAAAATCGAAGAATTGGAAAACCAAAAAATCTAAACCGAGAACTTGAAAAATCGAATAATCGAGAAATCAAAACATCAAGGAAAACAATAAAATTAACGGAAAATCTAGAACTTAAAAATTGAAAAATTAAAATACCTATCGAAAAATTGAAAAACCGAGAAATCGAAACATCAAAAAATGGAAAAATTGAAGAACCGAAACATTGCAAAATCTCAGAACTGAAATACTGAAAAACTGAAAAATGGAAGCAAAATTGAAAAACAGAAAAAGTGAAAAAATTCAAAACTGAAATCTTGAAAAACTGAAAAATGGAAAGAAAATTGAAGAATCGGAAAAGTGAAAAAATCCAAAACTGAAACATTGAAAAATCCAGAAATCGAAAAATTGAAAAATCACAATTGAAGAAAGAATTGAAAAATCAAGAAATAGAGAAATGGGAAAATCAAAAACTCAGTTAATCGAAAAATTGAAAAATCGAAAAATTTAGAAACGTCAAAAATTGAAAACTGAAAAATAAAAAAATTTAAAAATCGTAAAACTGAAATATCGTGAAGTTAATAAATTGAAAAACTGAAAATTTTTGAAAAAAAAAATCGTATCAAAAACTGAAAATTCAAAAAATCGAGAAATTGAACAATCAAAAAATCAAAACATTGAAATCCCAGTAAGTTGATAAATAGGAAAATTTAAAAAACAAAAAATTTTAAAATCCAAGAATTGAACAACAAAAAAAATCTAAGCCTGAAAACTCAGAAAATTGAATGATCGAGAACAAAAAATCTAAAATTTAAAACTTCGACAAATTGAAAAATCATGGAACTGAAAAATCGAAAAATCGAGATAGTGAGAAATCTAAAAACCTAAAACTTTCAAAACTGAAAAATTAAAATATCGAAAAATTTAAAAACCGAGAAAAAACAGTATCAAAAATTTGAAAAATTGAAGAAACGAAATATTACAAAATTCCAAAGCTGAAATATTGAAAAACCTAAAAATGGAAGGAAAATTAGAGAATCGAAACAGTGAAAAAATCCCAAACTGAAACATTGAAAAATTGAGAAATGGAAAAATGGGAAAATCAAAAAAATTGGTCTAAAGAGTTTAGACAGTACTTCCCTCGCTATCGGAAACGTGGCGACTGCATGCCTATTATGTTTTATTTTTCACTTTAGCTTTCAAAGCATTCGGTTTTGTAGTTCCTGATTAAATCAATAAAATAAATTTACGCATTAATTAATTTTTGGGGTCATCCTGTATATGCAAATCCAAAAAACATGAATGGAATGATAAATCACAAGAAGAGACTCATCATATTTTATACAATTTAGATAGGATTTATTCAGCAAAATTTTGAGGTGACGTCATCAATTTTTTAGAGGAGATAAGTAAATATATTGTGATTAAAACGGTCTTGGTTTAATAACAAAAAAATATTGTTCGTTTATAAAACAAGCTCGTCTTAGACAAACTATTCGTAAAAAAATATGTCATAAAAAAATGTACGTATGCTAGTCCCGACTGCGATTATGGTTTAAATATTTTTTAGAAAATCCTGTCATGGATGTAGAAACATTTGTGACAGCCAAAGAGATTTTTTTGAGAAAATTATCTTTGAATTTAGACCAAATTGAAATAGACACTAGGCAACAGGCACATTTGGGTAAAATAAAGAGAAATTAGGGTTACGGTTTCAAATTTTGGACGTATTTACAAACTTAGACCGACTACAGCAATAGCTAAAACTGTTGAGTCTCTGTTGTACAGTACATTTAGAGGTAACAGTCATACATACTATGGACAGCAAAGTGAGGAAAAAGCTGTCAAGTGTTTTGAAATAAATAAAAATATAAAAACTGAACGGTGTGGCTTGTTTATTTCAAAACAATTTCCTTACTTGGCTGCTAGTCCAGACAGGGTTCTAGAGGATAGGAGTACATTAGTCGAAATTAAATGCCCTTCAAAATCGCAAGATTTGTCTCCCCAAGAAGCGGTTAGAAAAAAAATAATCAAATTTTGTACATTGACAGACAGAGAATTGAAACTAAAAAAAGAATCATGATTACTACTTTCAACTCCAGGGACAAATGCTTGTTACGGTTATTTTACAAGTTTATTTTGTTATATGGACACCCAATAGAAAAAATTTATAAAGACGAATATGTAAAAAGATGGCAGATAAACTTGGCAGATTTTGCTTTGGCGCTTTATTGCCCGAAATAATTGATTCAAGAAGAAAGAGGAACCTGCCTTTGCGAGAGATTTTTTTAAAATAAATAAAATTTGTTTCTATTTTTTTATGTACTTTAATAATTTATTAGGATTACATTTTTCATCACCAAGACTTGCATATTTTTATTATAAATATATTTTGAAAATGATCTCTCGGCAAATGAAAACATATACGAGCACTTTTTTCGAGTAAACAATGAAGGGAGAAGTTACTGGGCGTAGGGATTTTTTAAAACACCTCCTTTCTGGGATAAGTAGTAGATACACTTAGCTACTTATACGTGTTAAACAAAAGCTGTATTTTATATATTTTTTGTTATTATTATAAATATGTTTATTAGTTTTATTAATTAAGAAAGCAAAATATATATTAACAATAATATTACAATGAATTTTTAGTAATCATGTGTATTGAATTCAGGATCCTGAGTGGAGTAAAAATATTATAGTTCCCCAGTTTTAATTCGGTTTTATGATAGTACCTCATTGCGTAAAAGTTAATTTCCTTAACAATAGATTACTACGGCCGGTCCTGGCGGCTTGTTATAAAACTGAGTTCCTTGCCATAAATTAGAAAAATCAGTCGAGAACTCTAACAATCAGCTTATGGTAAAGCAGGCGATAAGGGTTTTACCTGGAAAATCGCTTCTGTAAATTTTAGTGGTGCTCCTATCGGCAAAGTACTGAACTAACTTCTCAAATTCTGTCGAATTGATACCCATTTTTTTCAATAATTGTTAGTTTTTGTTAAAAACTCTGCTAACCAATAGATCATTAATTTTCCTCTGATATTCCTGTTAAAATTAGTCGACGTATTTTGCATTAATTTGTGGTATACTTTGATTTTAATAAACACATTATTATTTAAACAAATTGTACCACTAACAAACATTTAATGACTCTGCGCCCTGTAAAAAGTGATGTTTTATCCATGTGCGAATTTTCAAGCGATTCTATGATGGTTATGACTCAAAAAACTTGAAAAGAAAACATACAATGGTGCTTTTTTTACGATATTTCTCAGCCATATTTTTTTAATTGATTGAACTGCTCTCTGCGCTCTAGAATATGAAAAAAGCTGCAGTTTGATGTATGATACATCTATATTAATCTCATTTTTTCATACAAAAACCAAAAAAATGTTATACCTCGTCTAGCGAGTCCCCTTAATGCGTGTTTTTGGAAACTAAATATTGACTATAACCTACGGGAAAACATTTTCGGTTGGCGACTCATAGGTAGGCAACCAATAATCAACTTGATGTACGACCAAGACGTGTTAATGAACATCTAAATTTGTATTAAATTGTAACGCTTACCTCAAAACTAATGTATTTTCTTAAATATGTAGGCAACACAACAAAAATGCCAAAACCTGCCTTTTAGAGATTATCTTGCGTATCCCCACGTAGCGCTAAGTTTAAATTAGGTGCAGTTTGGGTGCAAAAATATTAATTCAGGGCAGAAAATCACTGTTTTTGCAGTCTCTCCCCAAGCCGGTGTTTAAACGTGTTAATAAACCGACGATAAATCCACGGCGGATTCTTATGCATGCCCATTTCTCCTTTAATATTCTCCCCTTGGTGGTAAGTAAACATTATTTTAATCATGCTCACCCGGCCGCAATGTCAACTAACAATAAGTAAAATGTATATTCAGTCCTCCCGTGTCTCTTCGTTCCGCGAACATTAAAATTCCTTCCCGCCTTAGCAATCCTGGAAAATAAATGAGTGGATGTTCCACCGTAAGGAAATAGTTTATTATATTTGCAGATAGCGTGCCCCTTATCCGAGCATCAGTCCGTTTATATTAAATGAAATAATTGCATCCTCCGCAAGTACACAGCTTTAATACGATACTCATGAAACGTTATAATTATGGAAGAATCTCGACACGCCATTTCCATTCAGTCGCCGCAAATTAACATCGGCTGTTTTATCGATTCAGTACTCATTCAGACCCTAACAATCGGTACTCCTTTGTGCCCGACCCAATTAAGTGCCTCTTGTTTGGATACCCCATCGAGTGTATCGTTTTGACTTTGTTTGCTTCCAGATCCCCCGCAAGTGGTGCTTCACCTGGGTAGCACACTCAACCCCGAAGACATCAAAGAAGGCGACGACGTGTACTTTGAATGTAACATCAAGGCTAACCCCAAGCAGCACAAGATCACTTGGTTCCACGACGTGAGTATGAGGGAAATGTGTTTAACAATAATTTGCTTTATTCACACTGAAACGATCACACAGTGTTATGGAAATGTCGCAACGTTACGCATAAACGACAAATATTACAGTATTACGTCGCAAATCGTTGCACAATTACAATAACTATATCTATTTGAATCCTATTTAGCACGCAAAAGTTTGAGGTGACGTCATCAAGTTGTTGGTGGGGTTGATCAAACATAAAATACACACGCTTGTTATAAATGAGTAAAAAAGGCCCTGTGGTTTCTACATTAATTAATATTTGTTTTCCCTCTCGTGATTATGTGGGATTAATTGTTTGCCTGTCACATAGTTTTCTGCAGAGAGGGCAGTGGCTTTAATTAGGACAGCGGCATTTCCACGCGTTTTAATTTTTATTAGTTTGTCCCAAACGACCGGCCCTGTCTTACTACTATTGCTCCTCTGAAGGTAATCAGTTTAATTGTTTTCATACGCTAAGCTTGGACGCCGGGTTTAATCCCACTCTGGGGTGGCGATAGCGAAGAGATTTCGGAGTTTTCGGGGTTGAAACGTAATGGGAACGGGGTTGGTTGACCTTAGGCGAGGGAGCTTGGGAGAAAGTTTCACAAAAAAAAAAGAATGGCACTGGATGGGCGAAGTTGGAATTTTAAGTTTTACAAAATTGTCCATCAACCCGAAAAGTTAAAAAGTAGTAATTTGTTATCGATCGATCGCAACCAGAAAGTAATGCAGATTTTAGCAAAAAAAAAATGAGAATACCGTGGAGAATACTGTAATAGTCACAAAAATCCTGCTCCGTGTTCGCCAAAATGGCGCAGTTCGTGTTGCAAATGGCGGCAATTCACGAACGTGGAAAGCATCGAACACAGATAACAAATTCATTTGTTTAGAATTCAGACCACACTTAACATTAATAGCATTGATGTTCGGACAGAACTTCCCTCGTCAGGAACATCAGAATTGATTTTATATTTGAAACTAAAATCCAAAAGGTAGTATATAGAAGCAAATTAGCTTGAAAAGTCGGCGTAGAGTAACTCTGGAATAGAGTAGTTTAATTTAATCGAAAAATAGCACCCGCTAGGCTATTTAAAAGACCTGCTTGAATTTTTCATAAACTAGACCGGTCATGGCACGTTAGCTCCGCACAAATTCCAGCAGCGCCCATGCTTTAACTTTTAAACTGCAATTTAGTGTGTCGTTTTAAATTAGAGAAACTAAAAAAACTTTTCGGGACGTAGAAGTTTCGAGCCATTTCCGTCAAGCAAAAAGCCCACGCAGAAAGGATTTATCGATGGCTATTTATGGCCTCAAAAAAGAAATTAATTACAAGCAAAAAGAAGTTTGGAATGAAAGAAACGGCGAAAAAATTAAGTAAAGCAATGTGAAAGAAGTTAATCTAAGAGTGATTAGTCCGTCCTCCGGCCGACAAACTTCATACATAACGAAAGTTCGAGAAGCATTTATACCCAACCTGGAGTTACGACAGTTTGACCAACATTCGTTTCTCTAATTCACGATCTCACGTCTCCATCCTTTTTCTTCTCCCGGAGTTCGGAGCCGAGGGCGAAATCACAAGTTTGTTTAGGATATTAAAAATAAATAAACAAAGTTTCCTCGAGCAGAATGGCACCGAGCCGAGCCGGAGCGAAAGAGACGGCAAAGAGATTTAATGCCTGGACAGCGGTAATTTAACCCTCGCCCTTGGGACGCATATCTTCGGATCGTGGTGGGCCACTTTTTCAGGATTTCAAGTGCCATAACTCGCGTTTAACCTTATATACGCATTTGATAGGGTTTATTCCGCCGAGGGATGCGACTCATGAGCAATAATTGCAGATTCTTTATGAACCATAAAAGACGGATTACACGCAGCCTTTATATCAAGGCCGTAAAAACAAGGGAGGACCCACGTGACGTACCTACGACGAATTAATGTCATGTAAAAATGGTGCCCTAGGGCGACTAATCAACGATTTTTATACGCCACTCGCGCCTCTTTATTACCCATATCTGGAGTTTCTGCGCGATATAATTTGATTCGTAATTGAAAATGGCTACTTAGTTGCCTAGGGCAGCCAGGTTTGCAGATTCACTTTTTGACGCTTCCAGTCAAGGTCGGCACGTTTTAAGACCGACTTCGGGACATTCTTACATTCTACTGTTGTTCTGCTATTAGCAAAAGATTTTCTGAAGTCGATTTTCCAGTTTCCTCAAGAGAATTCCGTAACTTTTTGATGGTGTCCCTGGTGTAGAAGGTTCTTTGAAGCTGGTCAACAATGTTCATAAAGAATATTGACCAACTTGGATCTCTCGTACTCATTATGAATTAAAGTGACGTCGACGGTTGAAGATGATCTTCAAATAACGAAACATCACATCGTCAGATGTTACGACACATGTACCCTTCTCGTATGAAAATATGTTTGACACTCGAGCAGGCGTTTGATTCTGCGTTGAGTCCCCCATTCATCTCAAACCCGGTAGAAAGTGAATACAAGCCCGACTTCCCTCGCCGTTTAAGCTCAGAAAGGTGTGCTTTATTAGAACGACTAGCTCCACTAATACGAATTAGCCCACTTTACTCAGAATCCTCTAGATGTTCTATAAGAGTATTATAAAAAACCTTGGTAATTCTGCGCCAGCGGTGGGTAACGCCGCAGGGTTGTATTCCGCAACAATGCTCCGGCAGTAGAATCTTATTACGAATGTGCCTAAGTTCGTGCAAGTCTCATTAGCCCCCACGAAAATAGTAAATTAGCGTTAGGAGCCGTCCCGCAGTTAATTCCCATTAAGCAGAACGCGACAATGCAGCGACAACTAATTAATACGGCTTCTTCATTTCCGAACGAAATTAGTTGCAGTGTCCGCGCGCTCGTAAATCCCTAACCGCTCCAGCTCGAACGTTAAAAGCCCATCCACGTGGCCCCGACTAAAACGAAACGTCAACAAATTAGTCGAGATGTTCATTGGGCCGTTAGCGCGTCTCTTATCACCGCCAGATAATCGCGTAAACGTCGTTTAAATTTGCGGTTAACGCCGCGATTCCGTCCAAATAACAGGGCGCCGCGCGACCCTGTCGCTTGTGATTCGGGTCGGTCTGATGGATGGCGAACGTCAAAAAGTGGCGTGTACAGCATGTAAAGTTAAGTAAACGTAGTACGGGACGGTGGGACCCGGCGTCGACCGATGACAAGGAAGGAATTGGGAACATTTTCAATTTACATAGGGCTGGAGTCCGGATATTTAAGGAAACGGAGCTGGGAACACTGACAGTTGGCTACCTGTTTTTTTACTTTTCACAGTTGGCATGTCTTGGCCGTGATTTCGAAAAAACACACGTTCAACATAAAAAGTTTTACCATAAAAACATTAATACAATTTTTTTCTGTCTAGAAATGGTAGATTATATTAATGTAAAAAAAATAATTTTCCCCCAAAAAATTGCTCTAAATACAAAAAGTACTAGAAAAGGCACTAAAAGTAGTTGAAACAAGGAAATTTTTGTCATTTACTGCTTTTTTGATGAATTTTTTATTCGTTTTGAGATCGGGGGGCGGAACTTAATTGCAAAGTCCATATATTTGAGGCTTAATCGTATTGTAGAAAATAGACTATTTTGAAAAAGAAAGAGAGAATGAATAATCTTATTCCTTCAAAAGCAAAAGGAGATTGAAAAAAGAAAAAATATATAAAAATAAAATTTTATTAATCACAACTTGACTTTTCTAAAAATTTGCAGCGTATTATAAGTATTTTATTCTTAAAAGAAGACTATATTACGAAAAGAAAACCAAAATATAAAACATGTTGTCCGAAATTTTGACCCTGCCCCAGCTTCTTGAAAAAATATTAAAGGGGATTCATTGATTTCGATATTTCGAAATTTTTGCGGTTTCATTTCTTCGAAAATTCACACCATTTTTCCAAAATCACGAAAATGAAATATAACAATTTTTGAGAATTTCACAAATTTTAGCTTGTAACCGAATATTTCGAAAACCAATCGTATCAAATTAGGATTATTTTCTCCTATAGAAGTATTATTCTTGTGAAAACACGAATTTTTTGCATAATTTTTGACCATCCAGTTTTTGGGAATCGCCCTAAATAAGTTCGGCTGTAATCTTGGTGGAAGACCATCACCATGTTTTCGATTCTGCTAAGTATAATCTATTTGCCAAAATTTTTTGTGGATTTTTAAGCAATTTTGACAAAAGCAAAATTTTTCAATACCCACTCGTCCGAAATTTTGAGCTTTTCCCCAACACCTTGGAAAATTACTAAAAGAAGATTAATTTGTTGATTTCGACATCCAAAAGTTTTGATGGCTTCATTTCTTCGAAAATTCCCATAGTTTTTTCAAAATCATGAAAATGAAGAATGGCAATTTTTGAGATATTTAAAAAGTGTTTATTTGAAACTGAATATTTCGAAAACCAATCGTCGTATCAAATTAGGATTATTTTGTCTTATACAAGCATTCTTTGTTGTTTTCGACATCCAGTAGTTTGTACGGCTTCATTTTTTCCAAAATTTCGACCATTTTTCAAAAATCAAGAAAATGAATTGTGACAATTTTTGAGAATTTCACAAATTTTAGTTTGTAACCGAATATTTATAAAACCAATCCTCGCATCAGATTAAGATTATTTTCTCTTATAGAAGTATTATTCTGCGAAAACACGACTTTTTATTCATAACTTTTGACCATCCAGTTTTTTCAAAATCGCACCAAACAAGTCCTTAACAAAAATACCACGATTGCTCCGACATTTTCGATGTCCGGCTGTAAATCTTGGTTCAAGACCATCAAAACACAATGTTTTCGATTTAGCTAATTGAAAAATATCTGCCAAAATTTTTTGTGGATTTTTAGTCAATTTTGACAAAAGCTAAATTTTCAATACAAACTCGTTCGAAATTTTTGATCTTTTCCCCAGACCCATGGAAAATTATTAAAGGAGAGATTCTTTTGTTAATTTCAACATGCT